ACTTCGAATATTTGACAATTTTTTCATACTGTCAAACGTCATTTTTATTCTACAGTCAAGAATTAACTGTTGATTGAAAAATCTAGTCACTTAAATTAGATTTTTCTTTTTTTTAAGCGGGGCAAATCATCTAACGACTGGGTGAGGCGGGAGGGAGTGTCAGATTCTTACTGACTAAAAACCACCCCGTTCCTTCTCCCTGTACGTCGAGCCGGAGCCCCGGTAACCCGTTAGGTTCTCCACGACTCCGAATCGGCATCGGCCCTATTGGGCCCCATCTGTGGTGGTCTGATGGCTCTTTGAGGCGCGCGCGGAACGCTCGGCGCCGTACGCTCGGGTCTGTTTCTGGTCGGACGGGGAGCCACCCATGCTCGCCGTGCGCAGGCCCGCGCTTACGGTGGCTGGAGATCGTCCCGCGATCCCCGACGTCCGGTGTGTCCTTCGCGATGGCTGGGTTGCGAGGAGACAGCGCTTCGCTGCCTCACGCGTCCCGCACTTAAATTAGCTTAGGGGTTTCTTTGACTTAAGGAGTGATTGGTGAAAATGAGCATTAAGCCTTTAACTGCCGATAAAAACTGTTAAAGGCTAATCCTCCGCTAGCGTCGGGCATCATTGTCCGACACTGCATCCAATGTGATCCATAGTCCAACTACGATTTCCAATCCACCTGCTAAGCGTAGAGCAGATCCATAGCCCAGTCCACTGTAACAAATTGGCCACCTGCGGATGGCGAGCACGGGTAACCATCAGACCACTACAGATGAGGCTCAATAGGGTTGATGCCGATACTGAGCCGTGGAGGCTTACTGGAGCTCCGGTTCGAAGTGCAGGAGTAAGAACGGGGTAGTTTTTAGTCAGTAAGAGTAGACACTCTCTCTCTCGCCTCACCGGGGCGGGAGTAGTCATTGGATAATTTTCCTCCCTCAACAAAAAAAGTCCACTGGAACTGCCACTCTGCGGCGACTGTTGATGATGATGATACGTGAACCCATACATCCCCAAGCAGTCACCCGTGACTACTCTCCACTATCTACATTATAGACCTTATTTCCAATGTTTAGAGACTATTTTGTATGAACAAATTTAGGGGATGAATTTCAATGGGTTAAAGAACTTAGCAAAGCCGATGTAGTGGCGTCTAGGTAAGTATAAGTACTAGGTATCTAACTTCTAGACTATAAGTTCATAGTGAAACTGTGAACAGTATGAACACAGCTACCGTTCATACAAGACACGGGCCGTTATTAAACTGAACGTCAACTTGACTAGGGTTGCTAAGTTTGCAAAGTTAGAAATTATATCATTTGTTAGAGGGAATAAGATTTTTTTTAATCAGCATGTAACGCCTGAATACTCAAAGGCTATTCAATTTTAAATTGTACTTGAATGTCGTACCATCTTTGTCATTTTACAAAAATTCGGTAGTTTCCTGGGTCAAAAATAAATTATTTTGATGTTTCAGTCCAACTAAATATTGACAAAATAGTTACACTTTCATTCATTGATTTACCGATAAACTTAATTTTCGATTTATTCTATCATTTTTTTTTAGATATGTGTGCAATTTAACGCGAAAATATAATGACGTCATAAGATGTATTTCGTACAAAATTCATAGAACAGTATCGTTTTTGACGTTTCGATAAAAGTAATATATTTGACTAGTCAACTATCGTATTTGTAGATATCAAGTGACATAACTACCTAAGCGCGACTTAAAATTAAGTGGCGTTTGAGTATTTCGACATGAAACAGATTTAGACGAATGCTGAATCAACTAAACATTACAAGTTACTCACGTAAGTATACTGAGAAAAGCTCTACTAGTTTCGAGTCACAGAGTAATTCTCCCTCGTGAGCAGCGTGCGCGGTCGCTGCGACGTCGCGCAATTTACTAGCTGGTGCGAGCGTTGGTGTTGATGTTGTGCTTGCGTTGTATCTGTGACTCGAAAGTAGTAGAGCTTTTCTCAATATATTTAAGTGAGTAAGGGCTCACCCACAAAACTGCGATGCGATGCGAATTCGCAACGCAGAAAATTACGATCCGAATTGCTGCGATGCGATTTTGTGCGACAAGGCGTCTCCCAGGGTAACCATTCCTTCGACGACCAGTAACCGTTCTTAACGTATTTTAAATTAAAAACTAGGTCGTGACATAGGTCGTACAAAGAATTGTGCACTTCTATTATTGCTTAGGAGATACAGGAAAAAGAAACAGAAGATATTGGGAAAATAAGATTTTGATGCGCGATGCGAATCAATTCGCAAGTTCTTGCGATGCGACGTCCCATCGCAGTTTTGTGCACGAGCCCTACCTCGTAATTTTTAGTTAATTCAGTATGTCTCACGATAGTTATTATAAAAACAGTTATTATTTTTTTGCAATATTTTTTCTGTTACAACTGTGTTTGACAGCCCTAGGTACATAAACATGGCGTATAGTTACCATAGGTAGCGTTCACAAAGGTTTAATTTCTCGCTGCACTGTGTTAGTTTTCAGGAGCTCCCGCTTGAAATAAAGCCTCAATTATGTAATGCAACTTCCATGCAACAATATCGATAACAGTGCTGAAATTTCATCGACATTTTCTGAAGGAATGTCAGTCAAATTGTTTTTTTTTTTTGGGATAAGCCGATAAAGACGCTGGCAGATCACCAAATGGTAAGCAATCTGCGTTGCCCATGGACATCTTGAACACCAGAGGCGTTAAATGTGCGTTACTGGGGATTAGGAATTTGAGGATTATTGCATATTCAGGGATTAGATAGATTTTAGAACAGGGGGGGGGGGATTCTGCTCGGCCGTGGTACCTATAGCTCCGGTCGACGGTCGAGCCGATTCGTGCCGTAGCATGACTCTCCCACACTTGGTGTGGTGGTGGTAGTGTAATAACACTTAAAATCATTACAGATTATGGCAAAAAGTCTTATTAAGAGAAGAAACTACCTTAATAAGTAATGTACCAAAAATATTTGCTAGAAACGATGATCGTTTCCAGGGGGGAGTGAGACAGCGATACTCCGTGCACAGAATTTCGAAATTGAAATCCCAAATAACACTTTCCTTGGCCATTACACGATTAAAAACAAAATCCTTGCTTTCTCATACAATCTAAATAGGAGGTGTCCTAATTCCCATACACCGGTAATTCCGACCATAAACCTGATACGCAGCTTCATAGCTTTAATAACCCTACAATGCGCTTACAGGGTAAAAGGTGCCGCAATAAAAATGTAACAGGTAATTTAAAAATAAATTTTAACCCTCCGGTTGTCCCGGGAAGCGGGTCAGGGTCACCGCGACCTCGATCTCATGGTTTCTATAGTAACCTGGCGACTGGAGTAATATTTGAACCATGTTTTTAACTTTCAATTGGATTTTACTGATAATGGAGTTGGTACGGATGCTTTGTGTAGTCTCATAATAAATTGGATGAATTTATCGGTACACTCGCGTTTTCCATTTACTTTGAGCAGTATATAATATAGGTAATAGGTTTTGCAAATGTGAGCGAGTTATTTATTGAGTGGAATATTTCTTGAACTGTCTGCATTGTCTCGTCATTTGTGAAGGAAAAATAGCATTAGATATTGATATCTACATTATATAACTGTAAGCATTAATAGCTTGTGAATTGATAAAGGATACGGTCATTTCTAAAGAATTAGAATATGGATATAGTGGTTAGGTACCTTATCTATATAAATAAAAATGAATTTCCGTCCATTAGTCTAATTTTGGTCTTGAAATAGTCAAAGTCAAAATCAAAGCATTTATTTGAATTAAACCATAATCTGGTACTTTTGAAACGTCAACAAATACAAAATAAATAATAGTCCGTCAGTCAGTCCGTCAGTGAAACTAGGTGCGCATTTCAAAATATAGATTCGAATGGAGAAGAACGAGCAAGAAACTCCATTCGTTACTCTTTTTGTGGAAGGCAAGGTTTAAAAGGTGAAAAAAATAGGTGTTACGAAGTATCATATAGTCAGCCTGTCTAGTTGGTATATATATGCGTTTTTAAATCAATTTCAACATTTGGTGTCCCGGAGGTTTAAGACGCCCACTTCTCATGCATGAGGATGCGGGTTCGAAACCTATCAACGGCAAGTACCAATGTGACTTTTTCCGAGTTTATATGTATTATCTAAGAATTATCTAGACACCACTGACAAACGGTGAAGGAAAACATCGTGAGGGAACCTGGGCTTATTTTAATTTAATTAAATTTTGATTTATAAGTTTGTAATCGACAACCCGCATTGAGCAAGCGTGGTGATTAGCGCTCAAACCTTCTCCGTGTGAGAAGAGGCTTTGCTCAGCAGTGGGCATTTATAGGCTGTTGATGATGATGTTGGTGAAATCAATTTCAAAATCACAGACGTCCTATATTAAAGACCACATAGCTATTACATCATGACATATAAAACGGTAGTAAAAAATCAATTCTTTACCTTCCAAGGTCGTGTATGACAGCGTGATTGTCACAGATGCCACAAACGATAGGATTGCGTGTCTCCCTCCGTACAAACATACAGCACTTACTTGTTTATATATAGATCTTTATTTTATAGAAGTACTTACAAGTGTCGGCTAAGTCTAGATTTTAAGTATTTGGTAAATAATGCAAGTTTTGTTTATCTGAGTGGGTACTTTATTTCAGCCAACGGAACGGAAAACAGTGTGGAACAAAGTTGAAGTCTGCCTGTTTATTTTGTTCGAAGATCCGATGAGTAGCTCCCATGTAAAATCCGTAAAACAAAAGCAAAGGACGATCCTCAACCAGATGGTGTGACCAGTTTAAGGACAACCCAGCATCGAGGTTCTACACCACAATACTAATGGCTGCAGACAGGAGCCGATGGAGATAATTCGTCCAATCCATATTGATGCCATGATGATCACGATCCTGAGTCATGAGGAAGCGACCGGAGAGAGAAAATCCGTAAAAAGCTAGACACCTAAATTATTATTACATTTTGAATAATCTCCCACATACCTGGCTTCTCGAATGGCGTCGACCCAATGCACGCAATCCACTTCGGAAGCAGCTCTCAATTCATACTGCCGCTGGCTCTCACGGCGATACGATATCACGAAGCAGAACTGAAAATTTAAACCTGGTTATTCTAAGGAAATTTAGAAATAGACTAATGGAGTACTTTTATAAAAGAAAAAGTGATATAAAGTCAATAGGAAACATCACGATCTGAGTAAGGAGTATGAATAAATAAGGTACGTATGTACATTTGCAATTTGCATACGATATTGAAGACGCAATATAGAGGTACAATCGACAAAGTTGGTGGTCGATCATCATTAGGGGATATTCGCATGCACTCGACGCGAGGGAGTGGATAACAAGCAGGAAAACGCCCAGTGGATAGCAAGTTTGCCACAGGTTTTTTTTTTAATTGTACTACTGTAAATTTTGCCGATAGTACCCACCAATAGTGACTGTTTCTTATTATATTAATCTTATCTAAAACATTCTTCTTCTTAATTTTTTTTTTAGACAGACCTCTTTCTGATATAATAGGTAAAGTGTTTAAAAGAAAATCTTACGTTTCGACACTAACTGCTTTACTCAGAGTCATTTAATGATAAGTTACCTACTAAACCATTCTTTTTGATTTTCTTCCAAAAACATCACAGAATCTTCTTCTTGATTCTTCTTTTTAAAAAAGAAGTTGCCCTCACACTAGGACTTTTCCCTGTTTCGTGGGCGCGGTCACATACACATGATACCCAGACCCGAAACAGCTACTTGACGATCACACAAAGATTTGCTCCGTGCGGGAATCGGACCCGTGACACGTTGCCCACCAGTCGGTTACCCAGCCACCGCATCAACCGTGCAGTGCAGAATCGATTAAGTAAGCATTAAATGATTCCAAGAACGGTAAACTTAAATAACTATAGAAAATAACAATGAATAATAAACGAGCGAATCTCTGCAATGAAGGGATCATCGATCGAATCTCACAGAGTACCTATACGCAAACTATGTGAAACAATACCAACTAATTACTAAACTAAATTATTATTAGACAGGCGTGTGATACGCCATACCGACATTACATAACTTATGTATGTCTTTGTAGGTAGAATACTAGCTGCTTCCGCGTGATTTCGCTCGCTGTTTGTTCCTGTTGATCGTAATGTAAATGGACTATCCAACACAAAAAATATTTTTCAAATCAGGCCAGTAGTTCCTGAGATTAGAGCGTTTAGACAAACAAATGCGATGTCGCTCAGCCTACTGCCTACAGCTACTGCCTGCATAGCCGAAAACGCGCGCGCTGCTCATAAGGAAGATTCTCTCTGTGACTCGAAACTAATAGAGCTTTTCTCAGTATATTTACGCGAGTAACTTGTAGTGAATGCCTCGTTGGTCGAGTGGTCGTAAGTGCAACTGCCGGGCAAGGCGTCTCGGGTTCGATTCCCGGGTCGGACAACTGGGTTTTTAAAAAAATCTCAGTAGTAGCACGGAGTCTGGAATTGTACCCGGTATATGGCAATAGGCTCACCCCCTATTACATAGGACTCATAACATAAATAGTGAAAAGTGGGTGTTACATTGTACAGTGGCATAATGTGCACCTATGCCTACCCCTACAGAGATAAAAGGCGTTATGTTATGTTAACTTGTAAACTTTTAGTTAATTCAGCATGTCACGATCGATAGTTATTATATATACTTTTTGTATTGTTTGTTAAGGTCACGAGAAGGTGTGTACATAGGCGGAAATCTTGTGGAAATAGATGACTTACAGAAGCATTCCTCTCCATGGGCGCCTTGCTGAGTCGCTCGCAGTAGGAGCCCTCCAGCATCAGCACGCCAGTGGGCCGCGTGTTGTTCTCCGACTCGTAGTAGAACAACATGTTCTGGGGAATAAGTACAAAATATTAGCTACTAAAATTATAATAATTCTTGTTATTGTGTTTGTTGTAATCGCCACACTTCGCAGGTGGGTTTGAGATGATAGTTTTAAGTTGAAGAACCTTAAAGGCTCATGTTTATAGAGCTGGCTGGTTAGTCCTTGTCGAATGTGTAGTTTCTATGTCAGCTTTATCACGATTAGGTATTTTAGTCTGCTGTCACTGCACGACTTACTTTCACTTTGCTCGTTGAAAGAACCCTAAATATAATCATGGCATTTATAACCTGCTCGGAGTCTCTTTGAAGGATCGAATTCGAAACGAAGTGATCCGACAGAGAACCAAAGGATCAGTAAGCTGAAGTGGCAGTGGGCCGGTTACATTTGTCGAAGAACTGATAACCGCTGGGGTAAACGTGTTCTAGAGTGGAGACCGCGTCTAGGCAAACGCACTGTAGGGCGCCCTTCAGCTAGGTGGAGTGACGACATCCGCAAGATGGCTAGCAGTGGTTGGATAAGAAGAGCTGAAGACCGAGCTCAGTGGCGTGCCATTGGAGAGGCCTATGTCCAGCAGTGGACGAATACGGGCTGATGATGATGATGATGATGATGATGATGATGATTTATAACCGACTTCCCAAAAATGAAGAGGTTATCAATTCGACTGTATGTTTTTTTGTGTGTAGGTATGTTACCCGATTACTCCGGCGTTTGTGGACGGATTTTGACGATTTTTTTTTTGTTGGAAGGGTCATACACTCGGGGTGGTACCATTTCCACCAGGTCATGATCTGGTGATGGGATCTCATGGAAACCGAGGGAATTCTTTTCAAAATTGTTAAATCGAAATCCCATGGAAACCGATTTCTTACCTATCTGTGGGTGGGTAACCTATAAGTACGTATGACTTATAATAGTTATTTGTATTTTTACCTTTTGCTTGTTTTTAGGTTTTAATTTTCGAAGTCGGGTTTTTTAAACGCAGTTTTTGTTTTTATTGGGAACGTAAAATGTAATATTGTTGTCACATCGTTTGTTTTTTAATAGGATGGGCTGCCGCTGTGTGCTTTTATTTTGGACCACTCAGCTAAAGGATGGCCATCGACTAAGTAATTGGCCGCTTAATATGTTGTTTGTACTCTTATGCCGGAATACTGAAACGTTACTCAATTTTAAGCTGTGCTCAAATATCGTGCCGTCTCTGTCATTTTACAAAGAATTTGTAGAGATGGAACTATACTTAAGCACGACTTAAAATTGAGTAGCGTTTCAGTATTCCGACATTAATGCATTGACAATGTTGTTACCTATATGTATAGAAAGAAAAATTATTTATTTGCCATTAGACATGATGCACCAAATACACAAACATAATACACACTCTTGTTCAAACTCTCTTTCAATGTCCCATGCAGATCTATTCGTTACAATCCCCCACTTTTAATTTTAAAGTCCTCAACGAGGTATATGGAGAATTCCTTTATTATGCGTGCAAGCAGAGACTTAAACAACTTGTGTAAAGAGGTTCCAATAGATCCGTTTGTAACGCGGACTTCTGCGGTGCGAAGGCTGCTCACCTTTCAGTTTTTAATTGATTAGTAAATTGAGTAGGTAACTCGTTGATTATTAATTTGTAATTTTTGGTAGTATGGTTGTTGTGTGTTCATTTTTTTTATATTTTTTATTTAGAAGAAGAAGAAAGAAAGAAAAAACATTTATTTGACAATTATAAAAAATAAAAATACAGATTATAAAAAATAGACACACGGTTATAAAAAATAAAAATACAGATAATATATAAACAAAATACTAATAATAAACTTAAAAGAATAGGCATCAGAACAAAAAACAGTGTAGTAACAAAATAATAAAACAATGAAAGAGAATTTGAATATACAAAAAAAAAAAACAAAGAAAAAAAAAATCAATTTGTGCGTGCTCATGCCAAAAGGGCCTCCACCTCAGCATATAGTTGGACGTTTCTGCCCAACGCTGATTTTCAGGTGGCACCCTGCAGTGATTTAGTTGGTACATGCTCTTGTTGTTGTGTTATTTTCTTTTTGTTGTATGATTTTTTTTGTAAATGATGTATAGGGATATGTTTGGACTGTGAGTGTTTTTACGAATTGAATAATGTAATATCTATCCGTGTAAACCTGTAATTGGCTTTCTGGTGTTATTTTGTTATCTATTTGTTTGCCATGTGTATCCATTGCCTATCTGTTGGTTTCCAATTCATAAATAAATAAATAAATAGTAAGATGAAAATATAATGAAAACAATAACAAAACAATAAAATAAAAAAATAACAACAAGGTGGCAACCAGCCCATGACAAAAGGGCTTCCAACTCAGTATGAGCTGAACTGGCTGAACGCAATAAGTAACCAACACTGGTTTTCAGTTGACACCCTTGCAAAGACATGGACGAAGGCAACGAAAAATAATTGTGATAGCAAATAAAACAATACGATTACTTACACATAATTTTGTTAGAAAAACGAAAAGAAAAAGAAGTAACTTAAAAAATAAATATACCAAAATACATAAATACGTTGGCCGAGTGGTCGCAAGTGCGACTGCCGGGCAAGGGGTCTCGGGTTCGATTCCCGGGTCGGGCAAAGTACTACTAGGTTTTTAAAAAAAAATCTCAGTAGTAGCACGGAGTCTGGAAATGCGCCCGGTATATGGCAATAGGCTTGCCCCCTATTACATGGGACGCATAACATAACATAAACAGTGAAAAGTGGATGTTACATTGTACAGTAGCACTAAATGCCATAATGCCTACCCCTTCGGGGATAAAAAGGCGTGATGTTATGTTATGTTATGTATCTTATGAATAACAAGATACAATACAAGTTTAAGACCAACCCGAGCAAGAAGCGCTCTCAAAGCCATAAATTAAATGAATAAGTTATGACAGAGCTCCCGACGCCGTCCTACTTTCTACTTGTAACGACTAACTAGGTACATTACTAGATTTTGTTTTAACATAACATTACATTCGAGTTTTTATTCTACTTGAAGTGTGGGAGAGCCATGCTTCGGCACGAATGAGCCGGCTCGACCGGAGTGATACCACGGCCGAGCAGAAGACCGACGTGAAACAACGTTGTGTTGTGTTTGAGTGAGGTTACCGGATGCGCAATTACCCCCTCCCCCCTTCCCTATCCCTGAATCCCCAACAATCCTCAAATTCCTAATCCCAAAAGGCCGGTAACGCACTTGTAACGCCTCTGGTGTTCCAGGTGTCCATGGGCGACGCCGATTGCTTACCATCAGGTGATGGTCCTAAAAAACCGAAGAAAATGTCTAGGTATAATTCTTTCATACCTGTTAATCGAATCCGTGTTCGATAATCACTTTTGCAGGTTATCAAACTTTACCGTGAATTGATATTTTTTGGGGGGGGGGGATGTCTGATGTCATCGAATGTCTGAGGCCTTAGTACGAGTTTGTTTTACGTTTAAAGTAATCGTAACGAGTACGCGTTCGACGCTGTGATTGGTTGGTTCATTGGCCAATCAGAGCGCCGAATGCGTACTCGTTTCGAATACTTTAAACGTAAATCAAACTCGTACTAAGGCCTCTGCTCCGGGAGGGAGTGTCAGACTCATACTGACTAAAACCACCCCGTTCTTACTCCTGCCCTTCGAGCCGGAGCCCCGGCAACCCGTTAAGCCCTCCGCAGCACCGTGAATTCATTACAGTTAGAAAAAACAACAGCAATAATGCAACAAGCAAACGCAATGTTATTCCAACACAAACCAATAAAACAACTTCAACACAAAGTTCGCATTTCATAATGCCGATAGCTACTTGTGTCGTCCTCGTACCGTCTACGTGACGCCCCCGTACCGTCGCCGTCCCGTTCCCGTGTCGTTTCCGGCATTATACACGCTCCATTTCCCGAGGAATGTTCTCGCGAGGATTTCCCTTGCGTTACAAGTTAGATAAAATGTTTCTACACGCGTATTTACTTTTTATACCGTCTCTTCATGCGGTAGTCAAAGCGAATGGCTGCGCATACTTAGCTAAATTAAAGTCTCTTTGGAGACAAGTTCACGGTTTAATCCTTTTAAGGGGTAGGCAGAAGTTTTATATACTAGAAGTAAGCAATGTCTATGTATTGGTAGGTTGCTTAGTTCTCTTACACGCATTTTTTTAGAGTCGTTAGGATATTTCAGTTTTAATATATAAAAGTCTGGATAGATATATATAAACAATGATCGCCTCTATATATAATAAGACTCTTGTGAATATTACTACGAGAATATTGAATAATAACTACCGGCAATTAACAGTTTTACAGTTAGGTTAATTATTCTTATTATATCACGTCATTCTTGGAAGCTGTAATGTAACTCTGTTATTGAAATTACATTTTTAATTGACTTTGTACCTAGATTTGAATTCACTTACCTATATTTGTATTTAGTTATATATATTATAGTTTGAATTTAATAATTGTGTCAGTAGTTTGAATTTTAATTGTAGGTACTTGTATTACCTAGGTTTTTTCAAACAACATTGTATGATACCGCCATTTTGTTATTTGCATACCTCAAGGCGTAATATGGTTGGAACTGTAGGTACTTTTCTGCTAAAAACTTATTGTAATTTACCCATATTAGCGAATAAATTATTTGATTTGAATGTAAAACTTAAGCCAAAATCATCCTACTCTCGAATCTAGAACAAATATCTCCGATCAACGTTACAGTATCGCCCAATAGATTGGAAACCATGCGACAGGCTGTACGGGCACCTCAATCCCTCCCAGTCCCTCACAACTCGCTTGAATGCACTCCGATCGCATCTCACTAGACGTATAATCCATCTATTCCGTCCAAAGACTCCTCTGAGGAACGATAATCCACTTATAACTAAATATCGAATCTTATACTCGATGGTATTAAGTCCATTTTGCAATAAAGTCCACTTTTCACATAAAGGAAGTTCGAAAGTGCTGCTGAACTAATAATGCGATTATTGCTTGGTGTTCTTTGAACGAGAATTGCGAATTTATGAGTTTAGATTAGATTAAGTGGACGATATGATGTCATAACATCTCTAATATTTCGTGTAAATGGTAAAAATAGGCGCTCTTTGAGTTACGTAGCAGACCTAAGTAACGCTTAGGTCTTTTAAAAGCTCAGATTCAGATAATTTTGAGTTTAAAAAGCAAAGCTTGATATCGAACTGAAGACTTAATTACAGTCAATTCAAGGTCATTATAATCCCAATAATAGAATGGTAGGTACTTATAATGCATACCTGCATAAAAAAACATTAAATGGTAGGCGCGCCCTCTAATTTAAAACCTACCTACTTTCAAATGTGGGAGAGCCATGCTTCGGTACGAATGGGCCAGCTCGACCGGAGTGATACCACGGCCTCATAGACCGACGTGAAGCAACGCTGGCGTTGTGCTTCGTTGTGTGAGTGAGGTTACCGGAGGCCCAATTACCCTCCCCTTTTCCAATCTCCCTAATCCCCGAATCCCCAACGATCCTCAAACTCCTAATCCCCAAAAGGCCGGTAACACACTTGTAAAGCCTCTGGTGTTCCGGGTGTCCTTGGGCGACGCCGATTGCTTACCATCAGGTGATCCGTCTGCTCGTTTACCGGCTTATGCCATAAAAAATCTACTAATTGAAAGTTAATAAAGACAAATTGTCACTCTTGTACATTTTTGTGTACAATGCAGTGCGGGATGTTCCTACGTCTAGAGTTAGATAATACCTATGTATGACAAGAATAAAAGCTGAAAATAGAATTCTGACATTTCGATTTCTGCTGCAGTTCAGTTTAAACTCCTAACATAAATCAAAAGGTCAACGTCTCGTAAAGTAGGTATTACCTATGTACTCGGATTCCTACTAGCATTAGTACCGCTTGTACAAAACAATTTTCCACAAGAAAAGAGCGTCATAAAACTGATTTTAAAATGTCAAATAGTAGAACTTTAATACATATAAAAATGCTGGGTTATATTTTCAATATTGCATGTTGCGCTTACCTATAATAGACTGATGCACTAGTTTTTTTAAGTTTTCGTAAATGTAACCCTATATTGTATAAGTATAATCAATTTTTGGTGAGCCAAATCAATAAAATATAATATTTGCAAAGCAGCCAAGAAGTTTATCCTTGCACATCTTTCATTTCCTGGGGGCGTTAAAAAGAGGATTCCTTAGGTACCCAAGTATATGCCTATCTGATTTTAGACAGATAATATTATACTGGGTTCCCAAGCGTAATAATAACTTAGAACATCCTCCGTGACAATCCTAGATACCTAGAGGTATATTAAGTCGGTGCCATTGATACTTAAATAACATTTTGTAAATCTGAAATTCTTCGTTCGGAAATCATACCTACTTTTACACAACCACTTAACTAGTAAGGCAGATGAGATGCTCTTAAAGTGGATAAGTACCTAATAAAATATTATCATTCCACGTACCTGATACAGAATGAACCATCTTAGCTGCCATTTTGTGTTGTCAGAGCTCCGTTTGTGAAGATAGCCAGTCTGTAAACAAAATATTAGTTATACACTAGGTACTACTTGCTTACAAAAATATAAAAATGACGGCGCCGACCATAGACGAAATAAAGAAAAAGGAGGAAGGGGCTCTATGGTCAGCTCGCGGGCAGAAAAAATGGCGGGAAGGTGGGTTCCCGCCATAGTTTTTCTTGGCTTCCCTCAATCGTAGTATTGCAATTTATTAGAATCGTTGTTGTGAACTTATGAATTTGTTATTGAGTTTGATAATACAACAGTGAACATTATTACAATGAGATTGGACTAATCTAATGTATTTTGTTGACCATGTTTGCACATTGACAGTGATTGAGAACGGGTTTGTTACAGTATTTCTTCTCTCAGCCTCTTCTAGCTTAATTAAAATGCAAACAAGTAAACGTGCAATGGGCCAAAAACAATTATCACAAATAAAACTGTTTTACTTCTAACAACATGTCTATCGCTATCGCCCATGTGTATCTTTCGACAAATACATGAATAAGTAACTGATTGCAGGTATTGACCTACTTAAAAAATAATTTGGTAGGTATGTATCTAGACTGGAACCTTCTCATAACACTTTGTTTTATGATTATTTTAGTAAAAAGAACCTAATCAAATCGGTTATTATTTTGATAGATTTTCAACCTTAACAATGTTCAATTAAGTCAGCAATCCATTTCACATAATGATAAAAAATGTAGCTACTAACCTGTGAGTGATCATACTGCGCCCTATCAGACAGGGCTAACAGCTGACCATCGTTCACACGAACTGACCGCTGGATCTTTGGGCTTAGCATCATTTCTTATATCTGAAACAAAACATTCACCTGTAAAGCTTTTACCAGATTTTTCTGTTTGAATATCATATTCACTAATGGTGCTTACACATTCGAAAAGCTATGACGACTGTCATTATAAAAAAAAATTGTAGAACAATCGCGTCAATAAAATGTTTGTAAAATGGAATTATTTAGGAGAAGTCTAAGTTCAGCATTACAGTTAACGTCTAGAGTTAAGATGACAACGACTTCTGACATAGACGCAATATTTTTATGTGTTCCTGTAATCGTCGGAGTATTACCCACAGCAGGTTTTTTTACAAGACGCACGGTCTCGATCTCTCTGTATTGTCTCGTTAGTCTGACTATGACAATAAACCATGAATAGAACATTATTGGAGCTATCCTTAATGTGTTAAATAAAATACGATAAACTTAGCCTATGCTTCAATGAATCAATGGTTTTCAGGAACGTACACAGTATAAGTACTAAACTTAATTAGGATTCTTTATTGAAGATACCAAGAATGATTACTTAAAATCTGATTGGTAGAAACTAATAAAAATTTATCGTAAAATAGACCATAACACAAGCCAATTGCACAAAATATTGTTACCTACAGCAACAACCTTCGTTTGAAACAGAGAGTTTCTCTCGAGCTTTCTAGACAATGTTTATATTGTGAACATATAACTCTAGAATTACATTGTAACTTACAATGTATGCGCTAATAAGGAGGCTAGAAGAATTAACGATGTGACCTTTGGTTTAGAAATACTTTCCTTCTGTACGTGGGTGCTATTTACTGTGAGTAAATAATGTCTACCAGTAATGGGAGATTCAAAGCGTGATTTCATGTAAAGGTCTATTTTAATTATACATTATATCGTTATGTAGGTACCTAATATCTCTGCTTCATTGGACACTGCCACACGATCCCGCTAATTTATTAATACAGTATCTACGCGGCTACGCCATCATCTATGTACGTACCTACCACGTAAAAATAGCTAGCATGTGGGTTGTGTGTTTTTGTTTATAATTTTACTACATGTCGTAAAAATATCGATTGTCAACTCACCTTTACTTAATCGTATTCATATTATAATAGAATTATGTCACAGTCACCACACGAACGTACGCAGGTAACATACAGTTCAAGATCAACAACGAGGGAAACAACATTATTTATACAAGTGAACACTTAGATCTCACACAAGTCTATAGACGAACAGACAACGCGTTATAACAACAGTAGAGAAAACAAGACAACCATTAATATTTAAACTTTAAAGATTATTTACACTAGTCATAATCACGAAATGTTGTGGCGCCTGTTGAATTTGTAAACGCAAGCAGTTTCGTTGAGGCAACGTTTGCTATCACTATTGTTACAGCCTGTTTTGTTGTTTGAAAGCGTTTGGTTAAGTTTAGAATGGTTTTTGATTGATCAGTCTGTCATAGTCGGTCTCGCCTTGTTTGCCTGCAGGCAGCCGAGGGCTGTACGGTGTTGCGTCGTAGACGGCGACGGTTCGACTGCCGGGCCAGCACCTGTAGCTGAATCGACCGTTGCGCGCGTGCGTGCCCTTCATGACGTACGAGAAACGCCATAGAACGGAGAACAGATAGTTTTGGCTAATTAAATGAGTATGCAAATTATTTGCAACATCTCGCTATTGTTCTGTAAACGAAGGGAATTATGTATGCGTACTCCCGTCTAGGTTTCTTTATTAATTTTTGTTTCTGTTCTATATTCTTTTATTCCATTCTCTATTTTAAAAACTATATATTTTCTAATTCATAAAAGTGTTTTTGTTACAATATACATTCAAATTAAAAAATCAATTTATGAATTTGAAAATGGAATTTAAAATTTTAAAAAGTGTCATGGTCTCGTTAGGAGATTTGTAGGGCTGTGCGTGGCCAGAGAGCGCAGTTTCCTCGGCAATAAAACTCTCGAGCCCGCCATATCTTTGTGTGACACGCGCCACAACTTTGTACAGGACCGTAATGTTATAAGTACTTTACTTTACTTGTACCTTACATCTTCAGGCCATAACTTTACTTACCTGCTTAGGAAATCAAGTAGATCTCTCGTGTATACATATGAATGTAAGTAAGTAAGTATTGAAATATAATCTATCGCTTACTTAAAGTACGTAGGTAATCTTAATGTCTGTGTGGGGATTGTCTCATTAAAAGAATTGCAAGGGTACTTACAAAACACATAACAATAACATAAAATCACGCCTTTTGTCCCCGAAGGGGTAGGCAGAGGTGCACATTATGTTTTATTCTACCTAATGCCACTGTACATGTAATACCCACTTTTCACTATTTATGGTATGAGTCCAATGGAATAGGGGGTGAGCCTATTGCCATATACCGGCCACATTTCTAGACTCGGTGCTACTACTGACAATTAAAAAAAAAACACTATTAGTCCTTTGCCCAACCCGAAAATCGTACCCGAGACCCCTTGCCCGGCAGTCGCAATTACGACAACTCGGCCAACGAGGCAGGCAAAGAATGATACACTATTATAAAAAATATATAGCATAAGCTGCCAATTAGTATCCATCCATCCATTTTCAATATTCGCTAAACCCAAAGGACGATACCTGCTGAGGTAACCACAGTTTGCATTGCCATTAACTGGTACGATATGGTATAATAAATAATCTGAATGATACGGACTATATACCTACTGAGTAGTATCTTATCGGTTTTCCCAATGAGAGAATTGAAAAATAATATTTATTCGTCCATAAAACTTCATAAACTTATTATCGGTGATGCCTAATTCAGTAGTAGGTATGTGTGCCTACTACTACCATTGTGGTAACTGGTAATATAACAAGGTCTCATGGTTCCGCATGCAAACTAATTAAAAAAGGAACATGATGTAGGACGTAGGTACTCGATTTTATTTGGGAAGGATATTGTGGCTTTTATAGTGTTGTAGTGATAATAAAGTCTTATAAAAATAATATGTAGCTTTAACAATTCCATAATTCGGATAAATTGGCACACACTAAGAATAGAGCAAAGCAAAACATTTTCTGATATCGTTGAAAATAGTATACCTAGGTACAGGTACCTACCTAAATGGGCTAATGGCTATATGTACCTACTTACCTTTTTTTTTTAAGGGGAGAAAATCATAGAATGGCTATTCACGCCTGGGTGAGGCGGGAGGGTGTGTCAGACTCTTACTGACTAAAAACCACCCCGTTCCTTCTCCTGCACGTCGAGTCGGAGCCCCGGTTACCCGTTAGGTTCTCCGCGACTCCGAATCGGCATCGGCCGTATTGGGCCCCATCTGTGGTGGTCTGATGGCTCTTTGAGGCGCGCGCGGAACGCGACGCGCTGTACGCTCGGGTCTGTTTCTGGTCGGACGGGGAGCCACCCATGCTCGCCGTCCGCAGGCCCTCGCTTACGGTGGCCGGAGATCGTCCCGCGATCCCCGACGCCCGGTGTGTCCTTCGCGATGGCTGGGTTGCGAGGAGGCAGCGCTTCGCTGCCTCACGCGTCCCGCCTCCTCCTTAGCTAGCATGACTGCTTCGCAAAAGGAGGAGACGGCATCCCAATCCCCCTCGCTCCGCATCATGGCCTGCACTAGGCCCGGACGCGAGAGGTCGCCATCGCCGATCACTTCCCTGAGGACAGGGCGGTGCTTTGCCCACGCAGGGCATTCCGCTACAGTGTGTTCCACCGTGTCCTCAGGGCGGTCCTCGCAGTGATGACACCCAGACGTTTCCTCCCGCCCCATTAGACACAGGTACCTCCCGAAACTCCCATGTCCGGTGAGGACCTGCGTCAGGCGGTAGGTGAGGACGCCGTAGCGTCTCTCAAGCCACTCCTCAAAGAGAGGACTTACCGCTGCGATGGCAGCGAGCCCAGCTCTCGGTTGCGACAGTCGTTGTTGCCATTTCGCCATGAGATCGCGCCGAAGCTCATCCCGCCACGCACTTATCTGGCGCGGACCATACATTGCCAAAACTTCATATTTGAACAGTCTCAGGCGTGAAAGATGTGTGTTCGAGTATATGTAGGTACACATGCGCAAGCGCACTCGACTGCGGTCGCACTGCCCCGCCCGCTACCCGTGGTCTAATCAGCATTTCAGCAATAGTTTCATGGGGAGGAAACCAACTGGACGTTTATTTACTTCAATATAAAACACGAATTATAATAAAATAAAGACAACCATTAATCACTTCGAATTTCGGCATCAAACTAGTCAAACAAACCGCTTGGCAGAATGGCAACCCAAAACATTTTCAACGGAGCTTGCTCACAAACTTTCAGAGAGGTCATCGTGTATGCCGCTTTTATGGTTGAGTGAACGGTCATACTCATTACTCGCTCATGTAAGTAAAACCAAGGCATTTAATAATTCGGTTTTCGCTAACCTAAAATAAAATCTACCAAAACTACCACAAAAAAGTATTATTTATTAGGATTGACCAAGGAACTTTTCTCACTTCAGCAACACCTGAATTTTACTGTCATCTGTTGATCTGTCAAAAATTGTTCGAAACATCTTTCTTAGTGCTGTGATAAACAACAATTGAGGCTAATTACTACAACAAATCACTATAAATTGTATCTCACACCTACATTTTTATACACACATCTGATTTCAAACAAAAACGACTTGTTTCTGGCACGTCCAGCGCTTTGTGTAATGTGTGATAATTGAAAATCCGCGCGTTATGGCATCTGGTTCCAAAAACGATATAGTTAATAGATTACTTAACATAAGATTAGATGATGGAGGTGGTGGAGATGAGCCGCCGCCGCAGAACATGCTCCCGTCCAACCAGCAGGCGCGGCAGCTCGGGCAAATACAAGAGGAAGACAACGGAGAAGTGAGCGAGCCAGCCCCCTCATCCGCCGCGATAGAGAACCCTCAACCAATTAATAACACTGGCGGCCGCCTGCACAACTGGCAGGCGACGAAGACGACCGTCAAGGATAGGCTGTCGTTCCTCTTTAACAATGAAATTCTAAGTGACGTGCATTTCATCGTCGGCAAAGACGCCAACCAGCAAGTGATACCGGCGCACAAGTTTGTGTTGTCCGTGGGCAGCGCGGTGTTCGACGCCATGTTCAACGGAGTGCTGGCCACAAAGTCTGATGAGGTAGAGCTGCCTGATGTGGAGCCCGCAGCCTTCCTACATTTGCTAAAGTTCCTATACTCAGACGAGGTGCAGATTGGGCCAGAGAGTGTGATGACGACACTATATACTGCCAAGAAGTATGCTGTGGCTGCACTGGAAGAGCATTGTGTTGATTTTTTAAAAAGTAATTTGGGAACTGATAATGCATTTCTGTTATTAACTCAGGCTCGGTTGTTTGATGAGCCACAGTTGGCCTCTTTGTGCCTGGAAATTATAGATAAGAATACTGCTGATGCATTAAATGCTGAGGGCTTCACAGATATTGACCAAGATACACTAAATGCAGTTTTGGAGAGGTAATGTTTCTGAAAATTTTGTAAATAGTCATAATATTTGTTTAGTTTCTTTATTTGCAAAAATTTAATATAAAAAACCTAAAATAGTTAACAGATCTGCAGTAATGTTGTCAAAGTCCAAGCCTTTATTTCAATTAACCCATAATTTGGTACTTTTGAAACATCAACAAATACAAAATAAATAATAGTCTGTCAGTCAGTCCGTCAGTGAAGCTAGGTGAAGCTAGGTACTCATTCCAAAATGTAGTGTTAAATGGAGAAGAACGAGAAAGAAACTCCATTTGTTACTCTTTTTAAAAAAGTATGTTCTACAAAGTCATTGAAGATGTTTATTATTGATTCAATTCATTCAACCTACAATGATTACATTGACTAAAATTGGGAAGGTTATTGGTCTTGTTCCAACTTGTTAAGCAATTTACACATTGGTGATAATTGTTTGAACAGTTCCATAGCAACAAAAATGATACAACTAAGTTAAAATCTTCAAATAGTTATCTTAAAATGCAATTAATCCTTAAACTTGTCTTGACTCTTTTCTAGTTACCATTATCATTTAAGTCGGTAGCTAGTGACAGTAATGTTGTACTATGATAGTACAAAGTAAGCCATTCAATGTAATCATATTTTTTGGAGATAATATCTGCACCTAATCAAATTTTTTTGATAAAATACTTGTTAACACAAAAATGTATATCGAGGGGTAACGGACTATTTGGTTTAAGCGACATTTTGGGCGATATTGAGTTATTATATATATTCGACAGAGAAAAATGCGCTGATTCCGAATATATATATAACTAAATATAGCCCAAAATGTCGCTTAAACCAAATAGTCCGTTACCCCTTGATATAAATAATATCTTATTTATATGCATTTATAAATAATATCTTTTGTACAGTGAACAGTAATTCTGAATTCCATCTATAAGTCAAATACGTTTCCTAGAATCATGCCTTCATATTTTTTTTCTTCTTTTTTTTTTATGGAATATATAAGCCGGTAAACGAGCAGACGGATCACCTGATGGTAAGCAATCGGCGTCGCCCATGGACACCTAGAACACCAGAGGCGTTACAAGTGCGTCACCGGCTTTTTGGGGATTAGGAGTTTGAGGATCGTTGGGGATTCAGGGATTGGGGAGATTGGGGAAGGTAATTGGGCCTCCGGTAACCTCACTCACACGACGAAACACAACGCGAGCGATGCTTCACGCCGGTTTTCTGTGAGGCCGTGGTATCACTCCGGTCGAGCCGACCCATTCGTGCCGAAGCATGGCTCTCCCACACTTAAAAAACGTTTTTTAAAAAACGTTGCCCCACACTAGGATTTTCTCCTGTGTCGTGGGTGCGTTTACAAACATACAAGTTCACATACACAATATAACACCATTTATAACGAATAATTTAAATAAGTAATATACAATTATGTCATATCACTACCAAATGAATTATTTGATTAGAATAATTGAATTAGAGGTATCAAAAGACATGGTCTAACAAAGCCATTTGTCCATTGACCTAATGAAAATGCATTTCATTGAATTTGAAGATGAATCGAAAACATTACCTAATTGCTTCTTGAGAAAAGTGTTTACAAAAATAAGAAGTTACAGAACACATTGATATTTCTGTGGAAAAATCTAATTATAGAATTCTGTTTACCTACATTCACACTTGCATTTTCCTGGATTTTTATTTCTTGGAATGAATGTATGTATGTTTACGATCTTGTCGATCTTCGTTACTGGGAATTGGTGTTATATGTTACTGGAATGGACATTGGTGTAACAAATAGCGCAACTTTTAATTGACCAATCGAAGTATACATTTTACGCGCGGTTCTAACGACGGCGACGGTAAGTGGGAGAGGGAAAATGTTGCCATAATTCAAATACCTGGAATCTAGCTTGAGGATCGTATCCCATTTCGGTTATGCTTCCGAAAATTTTGATGATGCTGTGTTCCATTTCTCTCAGTCGCCATCGCCGTTATAATATTTGAAACTCTAGACCCAACAGATTAGTTCAGGTTCTAAATAATTTCTCTTTTTCTCCAGGGATACTCTACGCATCAGAGAGGCTAAAATCTTCTCAGCAGTAATCCGCTGGTCGGAAGCAGAATGCATAAGAAGACAGTTACCAGTTACACCTTCCAACCAAAGGATGGTTCTTGGAAGAGCATTCAACGCCATCAGATTTCCCCTAATGTCGGTAAAAGAATTTGCCATGGGTCCTGCGCAAAGTGGTCTCCTGGATGACCGGGAGATTGTACAACTGTTCCTATACTTTACCGTGAATCCTAAACCTAATGTTGGGTTCCTAGATGCCCCAAGGTGTTGTATGACTGGCAAAGAACTGACGGTGAACAGGTTTCCCCAGACAGACTCCAGGTGGGGATACTGCGGAACTACTGATAGGATTAGGTTTACAGTTGATCAGAGAATTTTTGTAGTCGGCTTTGGACTGTATGGATCGTATTATGGGCCGACGGAGTATGAGGTGCATTTACAGGTTAGTTGCACATTTTATACTAAAACTTATGCTTTGTTCTAAGCTAGTATTTTAGTCGAGTAGTGAAAATTCAGTAGTCCTCTCTCGCTTCTGGCCCAAAATGGAATTAACAGACAACTACTAAATATTCGCTACTCGACTAAATTATAACCGTAATGCAAACAAGGCATTAGAGCTATATGCCTACAGTGTGCAAACTTGAATAATAATTTTATTACAGATTGTCCATTTGGCGACGAAAAAAGTATGCGGTTCAAATACGACGACTTTATGCTGCGACGGTACAGACGACACTTTCCGCGCCATGTTCAAGGAGCCAGTAGAGATCCTACCCAACACTTCCTATATAGCCTGTGCTAAACTTAAGGTACTTAAGGTTTTTTGACTAATACTTTGTGCTTCTGTCGAACAGTTATGAAAACCATTTAACACATGCTGTAGAATCAAATTACTAAATTGGGATTAAAGAAAAAATGTGTACCAGTGTATCTAAATTTCTTTTGTTTCGTTTTTTTATTTATAATTTAAACTCTTATTATTATAAACTCTTTATGAAAATCTGCAATGATCATTGCGCAAAGTTGCGCATTAATGAATAATTTGCGCAAAGTTGCGCAACTAGTGTTGATTTGTGCATCCTTACCAAGTTTCATTGCTTGTGTGAGATATTTATTAGATTTTAAACTTTAACACAATGAGCTTAGTGTGTAAGGTCGAGATGAGAATGAACTGATACACATTACTTTTCTTTAATTCCCAGATGGGTGTGAGGAAAGCACTTCAGCTCAGAAAGACCAAAACGCTCACTGTAACTGTTTATAATTTCAAAAAAAATCCCGCGCCAAAAGGTTGTACTTTCATAATAAAGATCGCTTCGGGCCGGCGCCGGGAAGTGACCCTACTAAAAAAAGGCCAGTCCACTGCTTTTGGGCCTAAATCAATACTTTTTAAGTAAATATGAAGTTTGAAAAGAGGTGAGGATTTCCCAGTAGAAATCTTCATTCATATTATGATTTTTTGCGTTATATTTTGTTGTGCATGGGTCACCTTTTGTTTCTAGAATGCTCTTCTAGTTTGAGTTCTTCTGATTCATTAGTCTTAAATCAACTGGTCATAGTATTATTGCAATCTATTCTTTTATTTTTAAGTTTCGATGTATCTTTTATATTTTTGTTACTGCCCTGAATAAACAAGTATTCTCTCAGATCTCACTATGATGGATGCTCGATTTTTTTTTATTTATAATCAAAACAGTGTACAGATTTTGAGTATACAACTATTTCCCACAAAACCGGTTTAGCGGTTTGACCGAGCCGCATTGTTTTATAACCACTATCCCTTTACTAATGTCCATAATTTGCCCTTTCACTTTCAAGGGCTTGCAATCTCCAGGGTTCCTTCGAACTACATCCTCAATTTACTGCACTCCATCAATCACTGAATCCTACCCCTGAATTGACATATTAAGCTGTACTGTACCAATTGCGTCTGATTATGTCAATCTCATACATTGCCTTTGCTATATATTGCATCCAATATAATTGGTTAGCGTTCAGCTGAGGAACAGTTCACAGTCAAGTCTATGAACTGCTGTTCAGCTTTCGAAGATCAGATTAGAGACATATTTTTCTAATTTTATTCTTTTTTCCAGGGCACCGATTCTTACTACGGTACAAAAGGCCTTCGGTGGGTAACAGTCGACTGCAATAACGGTGAGAAGGTCGTATTCCAATTCTCTTACGCTGCCGGCAATAATAACGGCACCTCCGTAGAGGACGGCCAAATACCGGCCATTATTTTCTACATTTAATATTTTAATCCCGCGTATATAGTGGCAACATTTGTAGCTGGTTCTTAAATTAAATTTTGGGCTGGCAACACTTTATTGAGGATGTCATGTGTGTAATGCTTTTGTGTAGCATAAAAGTGCATTTATATCTGTTGTATCAAGATTTCTACGGTTTCTGGAAATATACCGCCATTACTGGAAAAAGAAAGAAGAAAGAGATAGTGGCTAGTATATCTCGTTTACTCTGACATCTTGTTGTTTTTTTACATTAGGAGCATTACATACATGTCTAGAAGCCTTTTATTTATTACACAACCAAATTAAAATGGAGCGGGCCTTATGATAAGTGATCTTTTTAATAATTATGTAACATCGAGATTTGTAGTCTGAAATTGAATTCGTGCGTGCTTTGTGAAATGGGCTGTCGTTTTGCATCAAAACTTTTTTTCAGACCAGTTGCCCACTACCACAGGTTTCAGTTAAAATTATCGACTTTCATTGGTAGAGGCAAAACTGGGTCTTATGGACATTGTAATAAATATGTCACATTTTCTAAGCTTTTGTACGTAGTGAAAACGTGGTTTTAAAATAGATATCTTTCAATATATTCGTAACTATATAGATACAGACCCTTTTTAATCAATACTTTAGATATGCCGCTAATAAAAGAGTGATTTCAAAATAACATATCAACCTTCTGCTTCGTAAAAATTTTTAAATTCATATATTACTGTAGGACAGGGGTTTTAAATAAATAGACAGTATAAATGCCAGTTCACGCTTTAAAACTAGCAAACAGGTAATTGAATTAAGTATGTATAGAAATTTTGTACGTTTAAGGAACAGTATTGCTAAATTAAAACGAATTTTAGTACATTTTTGTGTCACAAAATTATTACGTTTATTCTAAGGCTTTGCAATAAAGAACTAGAATATTTTGTTATATTAAAATGGTGTTGTGGATTATTAATATTATTATGAATATTGGACTTCATCAACTACTAATATTTCCAGTATTTTATCTAAATTTATGTCCAATTGAACTGAAATCATAGCAGCCAAAGTGTGCAGACTTATAGGTACTCTAATTAAGCATTGTATATTAAACAAGACTTTACAAAACTGGCAATACTAATTTGATAGCAGTGGATAACACTACGGGATTCTGCATCCAACCTTCTTTGCACAATAACCTCAGTGTTGCCAATTAATAAAGAGTCTTAGATTTCTACTATTAGAGATTATGTATTGTTTTTCCTGTTTAATATGCATTGGTGATACTTTAATGTTAATAAAAAATTGAGTAGTATTATTATATCGCTTCTTCTCTAATTTAGAAAAGTATAAATAGTTACGCCAAATTGTGAGAGAACTTGCTTGCTGGCAGAATGTGGCATTATGTTGGCAGTGAATATTTAGCCAACATTACAATGCAAAATTAATAAATAAAAGCTTTTAAAAACAATTATACTACATTGTAATCACAATATTACTGAAGCACAGTCAATATACTTTGACCTATGGTTCAGCGCGGAGAGTGAGACGCCAATAAGATTGAACGATTATGAGTGAAAGAGATAACTATAAGTTTGTAGCGCACTTCATACTGGTCAAGTTATATTGGCTGTAAACCTTCATTTTTTACGTACATCTGTGATAAGCTTTTGAAATGAATGAACAACTTCATAATTGTATTATTATATTTTTGTTATGTGTGTGGTAGCTAAAGTATGTATGGGACCATAAAAATGGTCGTTTCCTTTCAAAAGCGAAATAATTCCTAAAATGAATCTTGTTAGTTTGTAAATAAGTTGATTTATTTATTGTTATAATCTTCATTTAAATATTTTATTATTTTATCTGTGCGTCGATTACGTTTATGTGTTGATATTAGAAAAAGATATACAGTACCGCATAAATGTTTTTAAAATTATTAGATTTGTTTAAAATGCATTTGAATTGCATTTTCCACAGATTACAATTTTATTTATTATTGTTTATTAAACTTGTCAAGTGAACTGCCAAATAAATATTATGAAACATAAATAAATCCGTTAGGTAAATCATTAATATTTCTTTGGGCATTTAATCATATTTGCAAATTTTGTAGTTTACTCAATGCCAAAGTAATTTAAATCATTTATTGTAAAAATAAATGATGGATTTGTATAAAATGATTACTTATGTGCTATATGTAAAATTGTTAGTCTTTTCTGTGGGTATAAGTTAATCCACTTGATTTCAAGACAGCTAAATGTTATCTAAAGTCAATTTTTGTCTTGAAAATGGAATGATCTATTTTTCTGCTCTCCCATTAGTTATTAAACCACACGAATGGCTAACAATATCCAATAAGAATAATAAGAGTTATGTAAATTCCAATAATACGTGTATTCACAAACTCTTCCTTAGTATTAAATTAATAGCCCTTTCTTTAATATTCATAGACCGAATAAAAGTCAATATTGGTACTTTCTAGTCAAAATAAATATATATAGACATGTCTTCAATGTCTAAAAGGTGCACAGTCTTATCAAATTGGATGTATTTGTAAAAATATTTGCGAATTTATATGTATTTTACACATACGTCAATTTTGGTAATGATTGTAAATCAATCAGTCAAAAATTAAACATTAGTTTGAGATTTTAATTGTAGATGTCTGGCAAGTTTGTATGGAAAAAACAGTTGTGTCTACTTAGCTAAAAGGATTCCATTTGATTCTGTAATAATTTCGCTCTTCAAACATTAAACTACCTACTTACCTGTATTATTTTCATTCCATCAAGAATTCAAGTTATACCAAATGGAATCCTAGTCTTATTTCATTTCTTCCTCGAAAATGTATTGTTCTTGTTATATTTATTTTTGTTTACACAGTTTGACATTGTATCTAATTAAACCTTACTGTGTTTGTATAAAGTTCGTATTACATTGCGTGGGAACCGATGCAGGAATTGAGGTGTAATAAGCATAAGAAATGGATTTAAATGAAACAATATTTTGTATAGAGGAACTGATGTTGGTCTAGATGTCGTCAATAAATAATAACACTCATAAAACTGCTGTTTTATTGTATTTATAGCATGTAGTCTATCTAGTTCCTAGTAATTACCTCACAGTCTCCTTAACCGAAACAAGAAAAGTAAATTGATGTAAGCTTTGACGCTTTTACTATACCTACTCGGTCACGCAGAGTGAGCGCCCAAGTGGAAATATAACTATTACTCTGGCATCTTCTGAATTTATTCTTCAAATCTGTGGAGTAACATTCAGTCACAATTCCTTATTGGCGTGCTCCAAAAATAGATATAAAATGTGTACCTACCTAGTGAGTTTAGTGCATTCTCTCGACATGACCAAGTGTCCCAGAACCTACCAGGTTACCGGGGCTCCGGCTCGACGTGCAGGAGAAGGAACGGGGTGGTTTTTAGTCAGTAAGAGTCTGACACTCCCTTCCGCCTCACCCAGGCGGGAGCAGTCATTCGATGATTTTCCCCCTTAAAAAAAACACCTGCTATTTTTCATCAGTAAGTTTGTAAGAAAAATAATAGTCTCGATTTTCTTACTACTATTGGTAGAATTTGTTATTAAGTAGCAATACCAAGATTTTACTGTCACGCGTCAAAAAATTTCTTTATACATCTTCCTACTGTGATAAACAATAATAAAATAGTGGCGAAAATCGTTACTTCTGCGCTTAAATTGTGTCTCCGAGCAACGTTCTTCGTAAATATAACAGTTCGTAAACATAAAGTGATTTAAGGCATTTGTGGCCTACCGTGTAATGTACTACAGCTGAAAAATCACTCGTTATGGCATCTGGGTCTAAAAATGATATAGTTAATAGATTGCTTAACGTGAGGCTGGACGACGGAGGTGGAGGAGATGAGCCACCGCCGCAGAACATGCTGCCGTCCAACCAGCAAGCACGGCAGCTCGGTCAAATACAGGAGGAAGACAACGGAGAAGTGAGCGAGCCAGCCCCCTCGTCCGCCGCGATAGAGAACCCTCAACCAATTAATAACACTGGTGGCCGCCTGCACAACTGGCAGGCGACGAAGACGACCGTCAAGGATAGGCTGTCGTTCCTCTTTAACAATGAAATTCTAAGTGACGTGCATTTCATCGTCGGCAAAGACGCCAACCAGCAAGTGATACCGGCGCACAAGTTTGTGTTGTCCGTGGGCAGCGCGGTGTTCGACGCCATGTTCAACGGAGTGCTGGCCACAAAGTCTGATGAGGTAGAGCTGCCTGATGTGGAGCCCGCAGCCTTCCTACATTTGCTAAAGTTCCTATACTCAGACGAGGTGCAGATTGGGCCAGAGAGTGTGATGACGACACTATATACTGCCAAGAAATATGCTGTGGCTGCACTGGAGGAGCATTGTGTTGATTTTTTAAAAAGTAATTTGGGGATGGACAATGCTTTTCTGTTGCTAACACAAGCCCGCCTGTTTGATGAGCCACAGTTGGCCTCTTTGTGTCTGGAGATGATAGATAAGAATACTGCTGATGCATTAAATGCTGAGGGGTTTACAGATATTGATCAAGACACACTAAATGCAGTGCTAGAGAGGTATGTTTGGCTTGTGTATTGAGTATACCTGTTATGAAACAAAAAACATAAAATTACACTGAGTGAAAGTAGGACAGCTAGATCTGAACTGTGTTGCCTCATGCTTTAACTAAATAAAAAACATTAGTTCATTGCTTATCTTTTTTGTGTTCATAATATTCTTATTGGAATACCTTTAAACTGTCAAACACCAAGCGGTCACCGGTGACCGCAACCTATTGTTGTATAATTGTGTCTATAATGACGGTACTCGACGAGTTAATTGTTAATACACAACCAGAGAGGTATAAATTTGCAGAACTGTATATGACTAGTCACTATACTCACTGGGTAATGCCAATAGATCCTTCATTGATAAGGAATTATGTAGAAGTACTCCCTGTTATCAGTAGGTACTTAGTAATTATTAGTTTACAGTACTGAAAGAAGACCATTGTCAACATGCCAACGTTTGGTACTTTGTATCAATGCCAGAATTATAATTATTTGATTAACATACATACATGATGCTTTGCTAGTCAATAATTTTTTTGCAATATAATCACATACCTGTATGAGTTGTTGCTTGGGTTCTTAAATATTACAAAGTTGCAGTACCTACCTAAAGCATTTAAATTAAACTGTCAAACACCAAGCGGTCACCGGTGACCGCAACCTATTGTTCTATAATTGTGTCTATAATGACGGTACTTGACGAGTTAAGTAGTTCTTACGTTAAATTCTAGACCACTTTATGTACCTTCATTTGCCACCAGCTGCAAACTAATTATCCACACAAGCATTTATATTTCTATTGCATAACATAATATAACATCACGCCTTTTATCCCTGAAGGTGTAGGCAGAGGTACACATTATACTTTTCACTGTTTATGTTATGTGTCCCATGTAATAGGGGGTGAGCCTATTGCCATATACTGGGCACAATTCCAGACTCGGTGCTACTACTGTGTTTTTTTTTTTAAAACCCAGTAATACTTTGCCCCATCCACCCCTTGCCCGGCAGTCGCACTTGCGGGTGGTCACCCGGCGAACGAGGCAGTCATTTCTATTGCATAGCTAAATAATGGTTTGAAAGATTCTTGAAACAATGACAACAAAAGCACCTTATGAATAAAATTAATGTACACATGTAAAATTAATGTATTACATTGATATAAAATTTTGAGCTATTACATAATAATTTCCAACCTCTTTTACAGAGATACTCTACGCATCAGAGAAGCAAAAATCTTTGCGGCAGTGCTCCGCTGGTCAGAAGCTGAATGTATTCGCAGACAGGTGCCCGTCACGCCTACTAACCAAAGAATGGTCCTTGGAAGAGCATTCAACGCCATAAGATTTCCCCTAATGTCCGTAGAAGAATTTGCCATGGGTCCTGCGCAAAGTGGTCTCCTAGATGACCGGGAAATTGTCCAACTGTTCCTATACTTTACTGTGAATCCTAAACCTAATGTTGGGTTCCTAGACACTCCAAGATGCTGTATGACTGGTAAAGAGCTGACGGTGAACAGGTTTCCTCAGACGGAATCAAGATGGGGTTATAGTGGACCGACAGACAGGATTCGTTTTACGGTTGATCAAAGAATTTTCGTTGTTGGCTTTGGACTGTATGGATCGTATTTCGGGCCAACGGAGTATGAGGTGCACTTACAGGTTAGTTCTCACGTTGGCCTTTTTAATTATTACATAGTATTTATCAATGTCGTGGTAGCCCGGAAGTTTAAGACGCCCGCTTCACATGCATGAGGTTGCGGGTTCGTAACCTGCCAACGGCAAGTACTAATGTGACTTTTTCCGAGTTATATGTACTTTCTAAGACTATTTAGACATCACTGACAAACAGTGAAGGAAAACATCGTGGGGAAACCTAGGCTTATAATTAATAATTATAAGTTTGTGATCACCAACCCGCAATTGAGCAAGCGTGGTGATTAATGCTCAAACCTTCTCCGTGTGAGAAGAGGCTTTGCTCAGAAATGGGCATTTATAGGCTGTTGATGAAATGATGAGATTTATCAATTTAAATTTAGTTAACTAGAAATGAAACTTATCTTTGTTCCAGATAATCCACTTGGCAACGAAAAAGGTATGCGGTTCAAATACAACGACGTTCTGCTGCGACGGTACAGACGACACTTTCCGCGCCATGTTCAAGGAGCCGGTGGAGATCCTACCCAACACTTCCTACATAGCCAGTGCTAAACTTAAGGTAAGATAGAGGACATCACACTAAGGGCTCGTACACAAAACTGCAATGCGTCGTCGCATCGCAAAAATGTGCGAGCTCCCTCTACGCATCGCTAGAACTTGCGAATTGATTCACATCGCGCATCAAAATCTTCCCTATTTAATTTTCCTATATCTCCTAAATAATAACAAAAGTATAGTGCACACTTCTTTTTACGATCCATGTCACGACCTAGTTTTCACTTTAAAATACGTTTGGTATTTACGCCGTGTCGCACGAAATCGCATCGCAGCAATGCGTGCAACTTTGTGTATCAGCCCTTACTTTAGTACTACTCTACTGCATATTTGCGATTGATGGTTATTATCAGTGTGCATCTAAATAAACTATGTAATTTGAAATTAAAGAAAACTAAATGTGTACCAGTTGTATTTCAAAATAGTAATTCGATTGTGTACATTAAGCCCCCTTACGCACTAGCGGTCAACCGCGCGGCTAGCCGCTCCCTGCGGTTGGCCGCTTTTCCAATTTAATATGCAACCGCTATGGCAACAGCGTCTGTTGATACGAGCCGCCTAGGCGGTCAACCGCTAGTGCGTAAGGTTGTCACAAATAATATAGGATCTCCTTGAAGGTATTAATCAAACTTAATGGAAAAGGTAAATTGGCAGTGCAATTCGGTTCAATGGTTATGGCCAATTTTTAATCTATTTGATCGATATATCTCCAGGGACCAGAACAAGTTTGTTTTAAAAAATGGTTCTAGAAATAAGAATGAACTGATACACATTACTTTTCTTTAATTCCCAGATGGGTGTGAGGAAAGAACTTCAGCTCAGAAAGACCAAAACGCTCACTGTTACTGTTTATAATTTTAAAAAAAATCCCGCGCAAAAAGGTTGTACTTTCATAATAAAGATCGCTTCGGGCCGGCGCCGGGAAGTGACCCTACTAAAAAAAGGCCAGTCCATTACTTTTGGGCCTAAAGCAATACTTTTTAAGTAAATATGAAGCTTGAAGGTGATGATTTCCTAGTAAAAATCTTCATTGATTTTTCTTGGTCTGTTGTTTATTGTTTTTTTTTTTTAAATAAGCTAGGTTTTCTGGTAGGCTTTCTTATTTTTTTTTTATGAATCAGATATTATTGTGAAATTTTCAATTATTGAAAGCTCGTGACTTAATTTTATTCTTTTTTTTTACAGGGCACCGATTCGTACTATGGCACGAAGGGTCTTCGACGTGTAACAGTTGACTGCAACAACGGTGAGAAAGTTGTATTCCAATTCTCGTACGCTGCCGGTAATAATGGCACTTCGGTAGAAGACGGCCAAATACCGGCCATCATCTTCTATATTTAATCTCAATGGCAACACTAGCCATTAAATTTAGGGCTGGCAACATTTGTTTGCGGCTGGTTGTTTTGTTTTTGTATTTAATACTGCTGTATTCTGTATTGTTAGTCTGAAGAACAAAAATATTGAAGGACATAGGTTCTTTTTTAAAATTTGTAATTCTTAGCTTTTTCGCTTCACAGACTATGTCATATTAAAGGACAAAAGGACGGAACAGACAAGTTGTAAAGGGATTAATGAATGTTGAGTTGATAGACCAAAATCGAGTCATTGGGCGATAATTTAACAAAATGTTTTAAAGTATTTTGCTCCATATCAAGCGACAGAGATAATAATATTATGTATTAAAATTTGGAACAATATAAGGGCCCGTACACAAAACTGCCATGCGATGCGATACGAATTAGCAACGCAGAAAATTACGATTGCTGCGATGCGATTTCGTGAGTTTCCTTTGACGAGCGTCAACCGTACTTAACGAATTTTAAATTGAATGTTACTGACATGGATCGTAAAAGGAATTGTGCACTTCTGTCATTGCATAGGAGATACAGGAAAAAGAAACAAAGATGATTTTGGGAAGATAAGATTTTGATGCGCGATGCGAATCAATTCGCAAGTTATTGCGATGCGTAGAGGGAGCTCGCACATTTTTGCGATGCGACGGCGCATCGCAGTCTTGTGTACGAGCCCTAAGATTGTTGAATACAGACATTTCAGGGCTCGTTTTATCATCACTGGTATGAGTCCAGGGAGTGTCCTGACGATGAGTTCAGGTTCTGTACTCCAGATATTCCTGACGTACATTAAAAAATAATGCTAAACTTGACATGTGTGCTGTGTGCACTTCTATCTACCCTGTTAGTTAAAAAGGTTATAATAATTTACTAATTCTTGTGTTGGTTAAAATTCAAATGTAGTGCTCTGGAAATAACTTTTGTACAAAGATTTCTAGTCTGAAAATGAATAGGGTAGTTTCCAGGGTAAGAAAATTAAAAATGTAATTAGTCCGCCAGTTAAATAATGAAAAAATATTAGACACATTTTTTTTATTTACTCGTGTAAAGTTACAATACTTAGATAAAATTGAGTTAAATTTAGGAGTGGGATGTAGTTACGTCACAATGTGTACATTTTGTAGCACGCTGTGACGTCACACGACATTTCAAGTCAATATATCGTCGAAAGCATTTAATTTTGTAAAAAAATAAAAAATACATGTCTAATGTTTTAAAATGTCGCGGAGAACCTAACAGGTAATCGGGGCTCCGGCTCGACGTGCAGGAGAAGGAACGGGGTGGTTATTAGTCAGTAAGAGTCTGACACTCCCCTCCGCCTCACCCAGGCGGGAGCAGTCATTCGATGATTTTCCCCCCTTAAAAAAAAAATGTTTTAAAATACCTAATCTACCAGAAGGACACTAAAATAAAATGTAGGAAACTACCCTATTCGTGCGTGCTTTGTAACAAAGGAAGTCGTTTTGAATCAAAATTTATATTTATAATTCAACCAGTTGCACACTTTATTTCTTTTCATAAGTTTCCAATTACTTTTACGAAACAACGTAAAAATATCGATGAATCTAGTTCTTATTACCACCAGAATAAGTGACACATTACCAAGAATAAAGTAGGTAATTTAAAAATTAATACATTGAAAATTAATACTGTAATAAAATAGTGATACAATTTTGTCTACCATTAATTTTAGATAAACCTGCAAAACAGCTATGTCTTAATAACATATCAACGATTTGGATTTATAAATCATTTAGTTAAAAACTAAAACATAACAATAGGCATGGCGACTATTTTTTAATTTTTTGTCCGTCTTTTAGATATTTTAAAAATCTTCGATGCGTATTTTTTCTTTTTTCTCGTATCCAAAAAAACATGTAGATATTTTGAGTTAAAATGACGCGTGACGTCACAATTAGGTACGATTTCTCCGTAAGTGTGACGTCAACACCCCCCACTCCCTAACTTTAGTGCGGCATAACTACGTATTCTTCTGTTAATTTGATAAAACAAAAAATACGTGTCTGATATTTTCGTGCGATCTTAATGACGGACTAATTACTTTTTTGATTTTTTTACCCTGTCGACACGCCTATTGTAATAATACAGATATACTTTGTTTGTAAGTAAATTATTTGTGTCCATAGATCCATTATAGTTCTTTTTGACTTAACATGGCATATTATATGTAACTGTTAAGTTCTGAATTGGCAGTAAGGAGTAACAATAGTGTTGCCAACTAATAAAATACTTTCCTTTACTAGTAGGTAATAGAATCCGTTCTTCCAACGACCTATTTTTTTCTGTTTAAAGACCTTTAGATACTAGTGTTTAATAATTTATTTAATTTTTATGGGTAACAGTAGAAAAATTATTTGTTACGGAGTTTTCTACTAATTGTAATACCTACCTATAGTTATCCTAAAATCGTGAACGCTTTTTAAACCTTTCTACTAATAAGATAATAAGAGCCACGTAAATACGTGGAAACTGTTATACCAATAGTATTAGTGCTTTAACTTATCGCTAAGCGATAGCGATAATGAATCGACAAGACCTTAAATCACAGAGATGCCATCTATGAAACGCAAAAACGAAAAACTATGGGAAAACAATGAAATTTTTATGTTATAACCGTTGTTCGGAAATTAGTATTTTTGTTAATTCCAACGACAGAAAAACAATTATCATTATGGAATGCGAAATATACGAGTTTCAACTATGTAAGTATGTATGTAGAATTTCTTTTTATTTAGCTAAATCTGTGATAAGTTTTTAGAGTGAACAAAACGTTTAATAATTTTAAATTGGTTTTTCTGATTAAAGAATGGTATATTTATGAGATAGTAATAAATCATTAATTAAAAAACACCGGTTTACTCACGTAAAATAATGAGGAAACTACTAGTTTCGAGTCACACAGTGAGTCGTCTTCGTAAGTAGAGTGCGCCAGTGCGCGAACGCGGCGATGCACGACGACGTCGCGCAGCGTACAGAGGCCTTAGTACGAGTGTTTTACGTTTAAACCTTTGACTGCCAATAAAAAACTGTTGGAAGGAAAATTCGCCGCTAACGTCTGTCACCGGGGACCCCCATGGCGTTTAACGTGTGAATGTAATCGAGTACCGCATTCGGCGGCACTGATTGGTTGGTTCGCCATTGGTAGCCATTGGTAGCCGGCCAATCAGAGCGCCGAACGCGTACTCGTTTCGATCACTCTAAACGTAAAACAAACTCGTACTAAGGCCTCGAGAGTGCCAAGCACGAATAACTATCGCATTCGTAACGTAATAATATCGAGCGCGTTCGGCGCTCTGATTGGCCGGCCTCAGTGGACCAACCAATCAAAACCGAACGCGTTCGATACTATTTCGTTATTTATTCGTGAATGCGATAGTTATGCGTGCGTGGCACTACAGAGTACGTCTACAGATACGTACGTAAATAAACCGGTGTTTGTATTAATGAGTAAGTCTCACGATATATACAAATACAGTGATAAATCATGTCCGTTACTATAAATTTCAAGTAAGATTACCTTTGAAAAGAATCTTATTAGTTTTATTTTATAAATTAGTTGTTTTATTTATTGTTAAAATTTAATAAACGTATTTGTAGTGAAAGAAAGAAATGTTCTGTTTGAACCATTTCAAAGACGTTATTGGGAGGTATTTTTTTTTTTTTTGTGTGGGGGCTTATAAAGTTGTATTGGTGAACTGTATAGAAAAAATATCTAAAGATTGTTTTTATTTGTCAAATATTTAGCGAGTAAGACATTATGTTCTTATTTCATACTTTTAAAAATTGTAAATTAGGCACTAAATTACCAATTGTATTTCTTAAAATTTCTTTTTAAAAGTGATACAGAAAGTTGATCGTCAAATTTTTTTTAATTGGCCCTTCTAGTCAAATTATTACCATTTTTCTAACATTGCTAATCTGGCTATAATATGTGCACTGGTCACATTATGTATAATATTATGTCATCCGTTTGTGTAAATAAGTCAAAATAAGGAATAACCAGTTAACGAACGATTAATTACTTTAATCGAAAAATCTTTGTCTAATACCTCCACTTATGAAAAAGGAGCCCGTTCGACTCGCCTACTAAAATGTGACTTATAAACGAGATAGGTGTAAAATGTAAATACATTAATTTCTACCTTATAGTTATAACAGATCATCCTCTATTGCCGGAATACTGAAACGTTACTCAATTTTAAGTCGTGCTTAAATATCGTGCCATCTCCGTCATTTTACAAAGAATTAGTGGAGACAGAACTATACTTGAGCGCTACTTAAAATTGAGTAGCGTTTGAGTATTCCGACTTATGGCTCCCATTTTTTACAGTTCCTGAAGCCTATACTGACATAAAATCTTACACTATACAGTATACACAGTGAAATCTATTTCGTTTTCGTCCCGAAGTAAAATGGTCCTGTCTTGGTTTACAATAGTTTTACAAAGAAATAAATATTTAAAACAAATAATAACTGATAAACCATTACAAAAAGCAAACATCGAAAGCGCATACGAAATCATAGTACATTATCAAAACATCACGCCATTTAATTCTTGAAGAGGAACTTCTCAGCGGGTGGCACGTGCGATGCGAATAGTACCTACAAATTTAATTCGTGTTTTATGTGCGTATTTCAAAGAAAAATGTTTTTATACTAAATAAACATGAAATCTTTACTTTTTGTTTTTACTTTATATATCTAAAGTACTCCATATGGCAAGTTGTTTTGCCGCAGGACGAAAACGAAATAGATTTGATTTTTGTGTATTGTAATCTCTACCCACCGATCCTAAATACCACACGCAACCATGCAACAATCTGACAAAATCAACACCAGAAATGTCATTCGCGTACAATAGACACAATTTTTTTTAAATTAATATTTGATGCAGACGCCAAACGGAATCCTTCGTAATAAATTTAAAAATAAATTATTCGTTCTTTTGTTTTATAATCTGACAATTGTATCTAATCTAATATTAGATCTTATTGTGCTTGTATAAAGTTGGTATTAGATTGCGTGGGAGCGGACGCAGGAATTGAGGTATAATAAGCATAAGAAATGGATTTAAATGAAACAATATTTTGTATAGAGGAACTGATGTTGGTCTAGATGTCGTCAATAAATAATAACACTAGAATTGGTGTTTCATTTTGAGGACTAAGAACTTGCTGACTATGGAACTAGGTATATGTACCTTAAGTAAGTGTATAAACATATACAGCCGGAGATAGCCCACAGCCGGAGATAGCCCACAGCCGGAGATAGCCCACAGCTGGAACATGCGCGTCTTCTACATAAGATAGATGACAATTGGGATGATGACAAGGTATGAAAATTAAAAATATAACTAGTCCGTAAGTAAGGTAATGAAAAATTAATTAATAATTTAGTAAAATTATTAATTTAGTATGTCTCACGATAGTTATTATAAAAACAAGGTAATGAAAAAATATTAGACACGTATTTTTTTATTTTGTCGTATAATAAAACAGTACTTGGATAAAACGAATCAAAGTTTACGAGTGGAGGCTAAAACGTCATTTCTACGTATAAAATGTACATAGAAGCGACGTCA